TCACTGGATTCCTCAGGTTCCTTAGTCAGGATCATTCTTTGATCTCAAGGGGTTGTTAAGTTAGGACACTACTAAGATATGGGTTCCTTTACTGCCACTTCATCCAGAGTTCCATCTCTTCAGGGATGGGGTGAATATACCAACAGTTAGGAATTCCAGGGTCTACATATGGATGACAAGGCTTCCCTACACAATATTTTAGTTATTCTTGCTCTTCAAAAGTCAATGTCTCATGGTCTGGGCTTATTAGGGGGAAAATCGTCAGGCTTCACTCTGACAATTCCACGGTGGTGTCTTGTGTTTCTCATCATGGAGGCACTTGGTCCAGGGCTCTTAGTTTTTGAATCTTGGACCTCCTTTCTTGGGACCATTTCTATCATATCACCCTATTAGCTTGCCATGTCCCACGGGTGATGCATGCAGTAGCAGGTTAATTGTCTCAATCCAAACAGATTCTCCCAACACAATAGATGCTGCATCATAAGGTTCTGTTGAATTGACTCTCATTTTGCAGCTCTGATTGGTGGGTTGGCCTCTCATTGGATCACCTAACTACTGGCAGTTTGGATGGGATTACAACTATTGGCCTTCCCTCCAATTCATGTGTTACCCAGGATATTAAATATGATTTGTTCCAACCCATTATTGGGTCCTGTTGATAGCACTAGATTGGCAGCTACAACCCTGGTTTCTACTTCTGCTGTATTTTCTGGAGTATCTACTTCTTCTTAGGCCATTTTCGTGGTACACTCGACTATCCAGAAGCTCAAAGTTCAAGCATAGAGGTTATGCAGTCTTTTGCACGGCATCGTATCTGTCTTAGTTTTTGCTTAGTCCTGAGATGAACATTTCCCAACGAAAATGACATGCATATCAGCATTTGTATATTGAGAGGAGGTTGAAGAACCCACTTTGACCAGAAGTGTGAACCATAACTCGTTTATTGACCTGGCTCTTTGGCAGGGGTTTTGCATCTTCCACAATTGCCCTGTTTAAGGTGGCCTTATCAAGTACCATTCGATTTTTGTGATTAAATATTCTTTGAGTTCCCAGCACTCTTCAGATTCCTCAACTAACCAAATGACCATTTCAGTTAACTTTCTCAACATCTGTTTGTGACCTGATTCTTATATGCCATGTATTCCCTTTACCTGAAGGTTTATATTTCATGGCTGCTGATATACAGACATCGCTGGTTGGAGTGATTTGCATTGTTTGTCCACAGACCCCTTTCTCATTCTCTCTATGTCCTCAGACAGGGAAGGGGATAAATCCTTTTCACCGATTCATCTGATCACTAATTGCCGACCCCTCCACCTTATCAGTGTGGGATTCTAGCTATAAGTGTGATCGGAGGTAAGTATGTCCAATCAGATTTCAATCCTCATTCGTGGTCATGTTCAGTGAGGGTCTTGAAGGTTTTGTTGCCTGCGCTAATGACTTTTAGAGATGCTAAACAATGACTTTTTTATTCTGGGCTCTCTTTGAATGTGAGGAAATTTTTGCGAGTTGCATCTAATCAGATTTGTCACAATTCTATGTTCTTAGCAACCTGGTTGAATTGCCCACTGGAGGACATTGTGTGGACTGGTATATGGACCTCCCCCAATACTTTTATCTTTTCTGCTAAATTATACAGAGGGGTGAGTATTTTCATTGCTACCTTTCAGGTTCCCTTATCTCGTTTTCATAGGATCTCATTCTGTGGTAAGCGTTACCCAGGCTGGTGTGCTTTTATCAAACCAATTCCACACTAGCAACCACTAATTCAATATACTTTATACAGGTTGTAGAAATGAGTGGTGACTCATGGACTATCATAATAAAAGCATAAGGGGATCCTGCTCATCCATGGCAATCATTAGATTGAATAAATCAGGGTTGATTTGCTTTTTAAAATTTAAATAACTTGGTTCACCTATTGTACTGTTTTCAGAGCACTGTTTCTCAGGGTTCCCCAATGTGCATTACCCCAGATTCTACTAGTGGAGCTAGGAAGTCCATTTCCAGTTGCTGGGGTGGTGGACAGATTCTTTTCCTCCAAAGTGTTTGAATGAATTTCTCCACTCTTGGAAAAGAGGGCAAAGTCGAGGGCCCTCCTACCCAGGTCCGTGGATGTTTTTTTCCAGATGTTGGTAGGAATGGTACCAGCCTATGCAGGAACCTACTCATAATGCCAGTTCAGATTTGACTCTCGGCTTTCTGGTTCGGTTAAACATGGCCCTTCCTTATGATCAATATTGATTATGTACAATGTTCATGGAAGAGGGTCCACTGTCTCATAATTTTGAGCACAGAGTGGTCCCATCCTGGGTTTTTGGTTGAGCACAATTGTTCCACATCTTTCCCATAATTCTAGGGGCAAGTGGAATTTACCTTCCCCACACAGTTGGGGAGTGAAGATGATTGTTCATAATTCCTGACCGGATGAGTTCTGTTTCCTCAGGTTGAGTAAGACATACACGATTCCTTCATTCCAAGCTTGGGATGTTGCCTTTTGGACTTCTTCAAATTGAGGAGAAGGTTTGTCCGGTGGCTCAGAGTGCATCACTCTATGGCTGCAGGTTGGGATCCACTCATAAGTATATATATAGTTTGTGGTCCAATTGCCCTAGCGACCAATATGGTATATAGGGACCATGGCCCTTTTATTCCAACCCCGAGTAGTGGAACCTCAGCTATATAGTTGGGGCCTGGCCTATAGTGTTGATAAATCAGGTAAAATTTCACCCTGGGTGAAGAGCATACCTGTTCTGGATGTAGTGCGGCTTCTCCTCTAGGGTGTCAATCTTCTTTTGACATACCCATGACATACTCCACCTTATCAGTGTGGGATTCTAGTTACAAGTGTGATTGGAGGTAAGTATGTTTTGGAAGTTAACATTTTCTTAAATTGAAAATGTATTTCCAATAATACTTACCTCTGCTAACACTCTCTCGCTGTTCCTCCCTGCTAAGAGCCAATGTTAGAGATTGGGATTGAGATAGTCTCGAAATAAATTATAACATTATCTGAATGAGGCCTTATGTACATTACCAGGATAGAGGGCACATTGACGTGGGTGGAGAATGTCACGAGAAAAATATTGCCAAGAGTAATTGAGTGGGGTATAAAAGACTGGAGCAAGTAAAATTCAGACCAATGATTAGACTGGCAATCGAGTAATAGTTATAAGTGTGAGAGAAGGTAAATATTATTGGAAATACATTTTCGATTTAAGAAAATGTTGACTTCTGATTCTGCTACCTCTGTCACTACTCACTGATTTTATCTCTCTCCTGTAGAAACGTTTGTCACATAATCAAATGTGAAAAGAGTTTGCAACAAAAACCACAGGAACCAATTTGAAAGGGAAAACAAGAAGCTTTTCAACCTCTTTCTACACACTTTTCCCAGCTTTGTATACTTAGTTTTATCAGTGTTATCCTCCCATGGGATTGTTAACTTTTCAATGAGCACATTCTTTTCAGCCCTTGATCAGATAATAATGTCTATTCTTGGTGTGGTGATAGCTATTTTCACTGGAACACTACCCTTGCTATTCAGATCAGCCTTAATACACCTGTGATTTGCAGGTGAAAGGATATCAAATCATGAATTGCTGCTGTACACCCTTGGCTAGGAGTCCTCCTTCACACACAAGATGAAGTGTTTGGTGCTACTGGGAACTTGCTCTGAGTTGTTTCTTTTAACTTTCTGTTCAACAGTTGAGAAACTTAAGAGAGAGGGATGAAGTATAAATAGGATAGATTATACCAAGACACTGAAAGATAGAGTTTATACATTTTAGAAAAATAGAGTTTGTTTGTAACTGAAATTGGCAGAAGTAGATGTCTTAATACAGTAAAACATAGAACAGTATAAACCAAAAGTACCTCCACAGGTACAGAGACCATTTAGTGTCCCAGAAAAAAACATGGAGTAGAGTTGAAAAATGTTGTTAAAGATATTTTTAAACAAATAATCATTGTAATCCAGGCTGGATTTGGCATTCATGAGCATCAGAGGTCTTGGTCCTTTTTGTTGTAAATATGAGGTGCAGGTTGATTGGTATTGTCATCAATTACATTCCAGTGATGTTCTGTGAACTGTTCACTGACCTTTCATCCATCCTTGCCAACACAGGGAAGTTTGTGTGTTGGTAGTAGCAGTAATACGATCCTAGGCTTTCTTCATTGAAGTCTAGTGTATTATCCATATTAGAAATTAAATCAACTAACTATTTGAATGTTTTCAACAGGGGGTATCTAGGTTTTGCTGGCTTCTGTGCTAGGTTGACAGAGTGTTTTAGCGGTTAGGTGTACTTGGAAGACTTCTGTTATCTTTTTTTTTCATTCTAAATGCTGTTCTTACTTTATGTTGTTTACATATCATCTCTACATTTTCAGAGAGATCTCTGACATAGGATATATGGCTTTTCCTGTTCATATTCTGCATTCACCATCTTCTCTATCAAGAATTCTGTGTATCCATTGTGTAGTGATGTGTTTTCCTTCCATCTCCTTAGCTTGTTTGATATTAAAAACCTTGTTTATTCTAGAAACTAGGCACTGTATGACTCCTGCCTTTACACTGTTTAGGTAGTATGATTTATAGTTGAAGTATTTACTCTCATTTGTGGATTTCTTGTAAACTTCTGTGGTATATGAGTTGTATATCTTGGTAACAATGACTATCAGTATTTTTAATTCTTGCCAGTTTTAATGCTGAGATGTTAGATATCTTGTTAAAGCTGTATTTAGCTGTCGTACACTCTGCTAATCTTACTGTAGTAACCTAAAACTTAACATAAGCAGTAATTTTCTTTGTTTTCATAGGTTTGATATTTGAAACTGAACTTGCATGTCAGGATGAACAACATTTTTTTCAAAAAAGTCCAGAACAGTACTGGAAACAGGTAAGCACTTTTATTAATTAAAACTTTTAAAAAATGTGATAAATCCAAACTAGAGGTTTAATTTCAAGACATTGAAGACAGATTTTGTGATACAGTTCCAGCATTTGTAGCTTTTTAAATGAAAAATATTGAATTAAATGAATTCATTGCATTCACATTCAGTTTATTACCAGATAAAATTTGTTTCAAAGCTTTGACTTTAGTTTTGAAAATACAAAGTATACAGCTGTTTTGTCTATAATATTATTTATTTGAAATGTGTTATGGCCAATGACCATACCATACACACAAACACATGTATAATCTTGATGTCCCATTTATCTTTTTATATTTTATTATAAGTGCTGCTAAAGTTCTAATTTGCTTACCAACCATTAAGCCTTCTGCTTCAATTTCAAAAGTATGATTTGACACTTAAACCCTTATAATTGCCAGAAGAGCCAGGCAAATTTAATAGATTAATTGATATAATTAATTACCTGTAAGCAGCAATAGTATCAATTAGTGTCATGTAAACTAAGTGATTAATCAAAATTATGATCAAATTAATTAGGTCACAAATGTATTCAACTAATTTAAATTAGTGTTTCTAATTATTATTATTGTTTTCAGTTATTCCAACATTCAATTAATTGAAATTATGATAAACTCTTTCTGTATGGGTTTGGTTGATGTGACCAACCTTGTAACAACAAAATAAACATCAGAGTTTCCATACTATAACCTTTAATATGTTTTGTATATTTTTACGAAGTTTGACAGACTTTCAGGAAACATCACAAGTCCTTTATACACAAAATGTCAGATTTTTTAAAATAAAGACTAAAGATTTGTCCATGAATATATGGAGTCAGAGTGTTGACTACTCCAAGTGCAAAGTGATTTTCATGTTAAAATTAAACATACTTTTTTTCATTTGAAAATATTCAAATTTCATTTGTGTAACCTCTATAACCTCCTACATAAATATCAAATGCTTTCTTTTCAGTAAAACTTTACATTTTATCTGCTATTTTTTTCTACCCTAATGCTATGTGGACTTGGGCTTTCTACCCTAATAATATATGATTTGACTGACTTTTTAATCACCATAAAAAAAATATGAAATAAATCTAAATTACCCCTTTTTCTTTATAGAATGATGCAGATTGTAATAGGAAACTATAATTGTTTATTCTAAATAGCTTTAAGCTCATATCAGCTACATATATTTATACATAATTTTATTGTTTTTTTTTACTAATCCTGCCACACAGGGTCACAATACTTTGTAATTGTTAAACTTTGAGCTTGCCTACTATAAAAGTTGCTTTATTGTATTTTTGAATTAATTACTCAAAATCAGTATATTCCTCATTAAACAAAAATTATGATTAAGTCGATTATTGTGAAAATAATCAATTAATCAATTTCCAATTATTACAGTTTTCTATTATTCCAACTATCCAAAAAAAGTGAAATATTGTCATTATGTTTGCTTATTGTTAAGCACAAAGCTACACAATGGAGGATAGAGTGTGGGTATCTGCCACTGTCACTAATTTCAAACAGTTTAGCAGAATCCACCTCCAACTGTCTGGTTGCTTAATTGTTAAATAAAGTACAAATTTACCATTCTTATACATGTGTTATATTTCTGATTGTGTAAATGTATTATTTAATGATTTATAAGTGGCCACAGAACTAGGGGAGGGGTCAAATGGGTCCAGATCATCCATCCAATTTTTCATCAGGAATTGATAACTCTATTCTTTATTTATGTTTAAGTAGCCAGAGATCTAGGGAGACAAAGAGTTCAGCCCTTCATTTTTCACAGAAAAAAATAACTATTCTTTAAACAGTCACCAGGTTTAGGTGAGAAGTCCAGGGGCCAAACCCCCATATTTCAGAAATTAATAATTGTATTATATAATGATATATAAGTAGTTGCAGGTGTAGGGGAGGGTCTGGACCACTCCACTTTTTCAGAAATTAATAAAAAAAACAAGAAATAGCCCGACATCCTTACACAACCTTATAGTATGAAAAAGAAATATTAGATGTTAGTGTTTTTATTTTATTGAGCTATTTACAATAACAATCTTTTGAGGTGTTCTAAAATTAACACAGCTGAAGCCTACAGCAATTCAGTTAAGATCTCAGCCAGTAATTGATTTATTCTAAGCCAATACAACAATATGAACATCAGTTAAATACTGGCATGGTAAATTTTTGCACCTTGAACTTTTGCTGACATTAACAGTGTGTCAAGACTTTAAAGATTTGTTTCCATCAAAGTTAGTATTATATAGGGCACCTGCAGTTCTTATAATGTAGACTTGTTATATAATCAATTTTTCATACTATATTATCTAAATAGACTTTCTAGTTTTATTCTCATTCATTCCTTATTGGTTTTCAAACTTTTTAAGATAAAGCTATGACTTTCAAATGTCTTACCTCATAAAATAAATTAATGTTATTATAATTCCTATGTTGTTTGACTTTAAATTTAGGCTACTGGAAGAATATCCCAAACATTAGAACTTAGCTGTGGTATAGTGGCTCATAGAATGGCTCTGAGTTTCTTTTTTTTTTTTCAAGTACAAATTTTTAACTCATAGCTCTATTATCTCCTGACTGATTTGAGATCTAATTACAGTTTTGGACTCAGGAGGTCAAACCCTTTCGATTGATATATTTGACCATACCCAAGGTCTCATAAATTAATTTACTCTAATCCTGCCAGAAAGCATTTCAGTTTAAAGTTAGGCTGGTAGCGATCCTGATGAATAATAAAATTGAATCAGGTAAATGCATACCCCACACTTGGATTGCTGGTGCACCAAAAATATAGCTAATAAAAAGGGGGAAAAAAAAAGTATTATAGATTAATTTACTCTAATCCTGCCTAAATGAATTTCAAGTGTCGTGGCTATTGAGGATTCCTTCTTGTTTTATTTTGGTTAGGTATGCATCTGCCTAATAGATAAAATGTTTTATGATTATTCATTTCCATTGGTTGGTTACAAAACATCTGAAATGATTAACAGTGATGTAGGTAGCATACACCATGAAAAGGATGGCATTATCAAGTTTTAAAAATAATGGTATGCTCTCTCAATTAGCTCTTTCTTTTTCTCGGACATTATCTCTTTCTCTCTCACTCTCAAGCCGTGGTCTTTGGCAAATCGTGATGTATATCTAGTTAGATGATGTGGTATTACTTTTTATGTGAGAAACCATCTCACCATGACAGATTCAGTGTCTGCAGTGATGATGTTTGAAATTGTAACTGAATACAAGAGAGGAAGAAGCTAGCAGCAGCCAACTACAATGGCTATACCTCAGATTCACCACCATCCTGAAATAAGTGAATCACCTTGAGCTCTAGCTTCACAGAAGGCAAATCAGCAGTAGTAATGTAGTAATGTTCTGAGTAAGCATACATGTAAAGTCAAAACAAAAATGAGCAACCATTGCCCCAGAGCTCAGTGTTAAGTGTGTGTCTATTGAGTATTAAATCAAACCTGATAAGATGTGGAAAACTTTTTAACAACAAAAAAAACACAAAGATTCTATAAAATAAACACAGACATGTTTTATAGGCATCAATGATTTTTAGTCTAGTCTAGGTTAAGCTTGCATTATTCCCACCCATCTCGTGACCTGCTTCAAAATTTTGGGTTTTAAGACACACTTTTTTAATTTCTTGGTGTTAGTGTTATGTCTGAAAGATAAAAATGGATGTGAAATATTCGACAGGTCATAAATGGAGCAATGCAATTTGGGTTGCTTTTGCTTGTGGAACTCTCAAAAAACATGGTGGCTTTGTTTTCGCTGACCTCGAAAATATATTAATGTACTAATTAATCTTTCTTGTTGAGTAATTTTGGTAGGGGATCAAAGTTTCAGTATTCTGACTATGATTCTGTGCTTTGATTTTTTATAAATAGTACATTTATATTTAGTCTAAAAAAATCAACACAATATACTCATCTCATAAAGAATTCTCTTCTACGGTAATTCTACATAATTGTAAAACAATATTATGCCTGATTGTAATGCCTTTATGTTTGTATGCCATGATACTTGGCTTAAAAATGGTATAAGTAAAGATAATTTAGGGGTCAAAATTGAAATTACGTGTTTATTTAAGATGTTGTTTTGTAGTAGCATTCGCTATAAAATTGAAAGTACTTTACTTTTATTAACTGTACTTTGTTTCAGATACTATAATGGCATGAAAAATAACATAGCTATCCTGTCATAATTTAACATTTCATGGCAAACTGTCCCAGAATTTAGTGACTGGTTGGAACCAGTAAAAATGACAGTCATGCAGCTTCTTGCAATCTATGTCACAAGAAGATATTGCTTAGTAACATGGGAAAATGTTCAATTAGAAGTCACACTTCAAGTAAAGGACACAGAGTTGCTGCAAAAGCAACCGATGGGAATGTAATGAGTTTTGTTCAGAAGCCTATGAATGAAACTGATGAGCAACATTGCAATATCCCAGTAATGGCAAGTACAGAAGACTCTATCTCTGTCGTTGATGATCAGAAGAAAGTGGCCACAGTACATCACAGTGCAACAACATTGAATAAGTATGTGCAAACAAATGAAACAAAAAAGGCCAAAATGCTGTGGGCTCTTAAATGTCTTATGAGTCATTTCTCTCAACGATCAAATGACCAAATAGGATTGCTATTCAATGCGATGTTTTGGGATAGCCATGTTGCTCAGCAGTATAGCTGTGTTTGAACAATGTTTGTGAAACCTAAATTTGAAATCTTCATCTTCATTGCCTTAATGCTCAAACCCATCCTGAAAAAGTACCAAATGGATGAGCCAGCTATTGCATTTATGCCACAAGATCTTGCAATCTTATTGAATGACCTGTTGGCTCTCTTCATCAAATGTGACATCTTGCAAGAGAACAATACAGCATAAAAGATGGTAAACTAACAATCTACTGCCAGTAAAGGACATCCAGATTGGCAATGGTGCCAAATTGG